TATGCCAAGTTCTTCCAGTGTTTGAGGTGGATTTTCCCTTGATCGTACACGTAACTTTGAACAAGACCACACAAGCTCAATGATATTCAAGTCAGGAGATTTTGGAGGAAGGTTTAAGCAATTAACATTTCTTTCTTCCAAAAACTCCTGAACAATGCGAGCTCTGTATGGTCTTGCATTGTCATCAATCAAAAGAAAATCCGCCCCAAAGTTTTCCGCAAATGTCAACACGATATCATTTAGGATGTCATCTCTATAAATCTGAGCGTTCACGGTTCTTCGCGAAATAAAAAGATCAGTTATTCCATTATGCATTACTCCTGCCCAGACGTTAATACCCCCACCGCCCAAGGCTTCTTGGGGAGCCATGTTTTCCTCAACGTATCTCTCCCCAGGTTGCCTCCAAACAAGAACCCTCCCATCTGAGTGGATGAGGTTAAATCTTGTCTCATCACAAAACATACAATTTTGCTATTCTTCACCCCACCCTCTATGCATAGCCGCCCAGGCGTGTCTCTGCTGACGGTGGTGCTGCGACAGTCGTATACATTTTGCTTGCCTTCTCGCTCTAAAAAAAGAAAATAGGTACATACGCTCAAGTTATTCTGTAAGCAAAAACTTTTGAATTGGATAATTTTCCTCAATTAACCTTAGGTTATTGTGGTTTTTAGCCTCCTCCTCAATGTCCTATCGGAAACAACAATACCAGTGTGTCGCCTCATATTGTCATTGAGGATCCTAGAGCTCAGGGTCCGTCTACGGCGAGTTTCTCGTAGGAGGTTTCTTTCTGCTCGCACTGGTATTTTCCTACTCCTGCCACCTCCATACCTATAAGCCGTGTCGCCCGTGGCAGCAAACCGTTGTTTTATACGGATTATTGTAGCCAACCCAACGTTGTAAACATTGGCTATAGCTCGAACTGTTAGGCCTTCATTAAGCAACCTCAAAATATTGGCGCGTTCGTTCAGTGTTAATCGTGCCATTTTTAAAGATAATTTAGGTATGTCACTCAATGACATTGTCCATAATTACGAGCTGCGTTATCATGGTAACTTACTGCAAGATTAAACAATGAACCCCTTAGGAGGGGCCTATACCAAAGTCTCCTATGCCTACCTTGTATTTTAGAAGAAAGCATAAGATTTTTAGGGAGCAGGTTTAAGAAAACGATATTGGATTTTGATCCCTTTCTAAACTTGCCATACCCTTGTTATTTCCAATGGAATACCCTGTATATTTTTTAATTTTTGGGTTTTATCGAAAATTTTAGTTTAATTTCATGAATTTACCTGTTTTAGACATAGTGTCAGTTGAAAATCAGAATTTTACTAGGCCGTGAAATTTGATCGGCTTCATATTTTTTTTGTTGTCGATATTTCATTGAAAGAAAGTTAAAGGTAGAGGATATTGTTCAAATTTTTGGATAAATCAAAAAATGCAATTTCATACTGGGTGTTCCATTCAAAATAAAATTTTCGATAATTTAGACAGAAGCGGCAACATCAAAAATATGTTTGAAAGACGTGCAAATTACAAACAGCTGTTGTTTGAAACTTGTTTTCATAAACCTTATTTTGTTTGGAATAAAGGTATGTCCCCTTCTCACACAGGTTTCCAGCACCTTTTGTTGATAATGGGAGCATCCATAATGTACAAAAAAATTATGTGGATATTGGCCAATTCAACAACTGAAAATGGCTGAGACAATTGAATATACGTGGACTCGTTTCAAACGTTATAGTCCAAGAGCCCAGAGCCGCCAGACACAACTTATTTTCTAAAGGACAGAATATGTGGGATTGTGTAGCACTTATATGTACTATGAACGTATGTATACCCGCTAAGTTGGGTAGACGGCCAATTTACCGACACCAGGTGCGAAAGCTTAAAAAGTACTTTAACTTTTTTTCTAACGTTTTATTTTTATACATGTTATTGGGGAGACTATTTCATAAATACGTGTGCTTAGCCAGACCAATCGCACCGGTCAAACATCCCCCCAGACGCAATAATAGTTTTTCCGTGAGTGTGAGCGCGAGGGTACTATGCATGCGTTTGAGAGTGAGCGAGATATCTATTTCCCCCTCTTAAACTTACAGTCTACTCCAGGCTAGAGTAGAAATGGGATTCGGTTTTTCCCCTAATGGGAAAAACCGTTATTTACAAATAACAGTCAACTGGCCGTCTACCCAACTTAGCGAGTATACATACGTTCATAGTACCTATAAGTGCTACTCAATCCCACATATTCTGTCCTTTAGAAAATAAGTTGTGTCTGGCGGCTCCGGGCTCTTGGACTATTAAGAGTTTCAAGTAATTCGTGAATGGATACTTACCGATTATGGGTACGTCGCTGCTCACCAAGAAATCAAATCAATTAGAATGTACTCATTACAGGAGAGAGATAAACGTGGGGTGTTTTTATTACCTACCAAAATCTTGTTTTACAAAATACAGTAACTTCTACCAACACAAAAATCCTGAAATAACAGCATTTTAGAAAAAAATCGAAATTTCATTAACAAAGCGGAATATCAAAAATTTGTGAAATTAGTTCTTTTTTCATAAATAAGAGACTAAAAAAATGCCAATAAAAAATATTTTGTTTTTGTTTTGTGGAAACCTGGTACTTGGAAATTTTGGTTAAAAAAACTTTATTTGCTTTTTCACCCTGTAGTTAGTAAGGCGCTTCGAATAGGGAAAATTGGACCAAAGCACCGTGTTCAGATTTAAATTATCTTTTAAATTCCGCAAACTGCTCATCGATATCTTTTTTAGTTCGCCTGATATTTGAATCCAAAGTTAACCTTAAAATTTGTTTGTTCCGTTTCATTTGTCTAGCAGTTTAGTTCACTAAAGTATTATTATTGGCTATGATAGAAGCACAATACATTTGAAAAATATTTCTTTCAAATACACACAATTTTGTGCGTGTGGGGTACACAAGGTACCCCCTGGTAAGGTTAACTGATTTTGTTTGATACTAAATTGATGGAAGAACATTGTGTTGAGTAGAAAATAAAGCATTGTATGCACCACGGGGATTTTTAGATTATAATAGAGAGTTCTCGTGCCCCAGACGCTACGCTAATACGCTACCGCTAACAATACGGTATTTTACATGGTATGTCATAGTTCTCGGACACGAAGACATAAAAATCCTCTAATCCCTTATGCCTCATTCTCACTTGCGCGAAATTCGCTCTTTTTGCGCGAAGTTCACTCTTTTTTTGACATTGCTTCGACAATTTGACGTTTTATGCGTGTATCAAACGTCAAATTGTCGAAGCAATGTCAAAAAATAGCGAATTTCGCGCAAGTGAGAATTAAGCATTATTCTGTTTACATTTTGACAGCTGAGTTGAGTGATCTAACCCAACTTTTTTTGCTTGTTTTCTTAACTTATTATTTATCCTGAAGATTCTGAGTTTGTTAATGCTCCCTTGGTGTTTTTTATGGAGGAATTATTATAAGTTGCTGTTCTTGCAGACGTAAATGGAGCGTAAACTAATTTTCACATAGCATAGCGTTACGGTAAGGCATCCGCTAAGTCCCGTTAGATAGCGGGCTCCGCTAACGCTAATACCGTAAAAACTGTCATACTTGTCAAATAGCGTTACGGTATTTGAAATTTGGACAGCACGAGAACTCTCTAATGCCTTTCAGGCAAAATACAGTATCCGCCAAAATACAGTACTGAATATAAAAATTATATATATTTATTAATTTTTATGATTCATATGTAAAAAATGTGTACCATAGCGACGCAAACAAGCTTCAAAAGGATTCTGCGAGTCATTAGCACACCATACACCAGCGGATGACTCGACCAATTTGATATGGCACGAGCCAAATACGCCGATAAAATATCTTCATTCGTGCGACGAGCCAAGTTTCATCGTGCAATTTGATTTGTCCTGTATTGTTATATTAATAAAGAGTGGCTTTGGCTATTTTTCTGAGACTTGTTTTAAACTGCGGCCGTTATTCCTTCCAACTCCGTATGACCGGAAATGGTGCTCTACTAAGAAAGCTTTTTCTCCAGTTGAAACAGCCATATTGACGAAGATTTTCGCCTTAACGTAATGACAAACTGACAATTAATGACAAGTGAGCGAAATACGATAAATGCAACTTGCTTGCGCAATTGGTCAGAGCTCTAGATTTCAGTACAGTTTATTTTGGCGGATACCATATATCCCTCGGGCCAGAAGTCCTCGGGCTAGTTTCGCCTTCGGGCAATATAATCTACATAATCCCCTTGGTACATAAATAGCTATAATATTGACATTAAATGATTATTATTTGACACTATTTCAAATGTCATAATGACTAAAGGATCATTTACATCCACTTAACGTAACTTAACGTACGGAAAATTATAATTAACGTACGAAACTAAGAAGGTTTGTGTTTACAATGAAGTTAATTTTCTTACGTGTAATCACCAATGACATTGATAATAACAGACTAGTTCAATCTGTCTGCCATTCATGATTATTATTGAAATTAACGTACGAATTTCCTTAAGTTGAAGTTGGTTCAACTTTTCCGTGTGTTACGATTTTCTTAATTTTTAAGTGGATGTAAACAACTGCATATAAGTACATGATCTTCAACTCTTCTTTATTATTAATTTTCCGTACGTTAAGTTAAGTTAAGTGGATGGAAATGACCCTTAAATTATCATTCAGGGCCTTTTCGGAAACGCTGATCCCATTAAACGAATCATCAGCTGATCTGCTTTGTCTTTCTTCAATCATATTCAATAAAGAAAGATAAAAAATAAACAGCTGGTGATCGGGTTAATCGGATCAGCGTTTCCGAAAAGGCCTCCTATTTTTCAATCACGGCACCATCGCATTTTTATGTTATCATTAGATGAGTCTAATTTTTAGTACCTTCTGTTACCTAAACAACCATTATCATAGTATTTTTTTTTTTTTTTTTTTCATTTAAAAATCTAATCATTCTACATCACTGAGATAAATCTATTTCAGAATGCTGACGATGGAAACTTGACTACCTCAACTCTAACCTTTATTCCCACTTTACAAGACAACGGCCGAACTCTTACATGCCGAGCTATAAATCCAAAGGTTAAAAAAGGAATAGAAGAAACGAGCTTACAGCTTAATGTCTACTGTAAGTTTTTTTCTTTTAAACTATTTGCCAATCCAACATTATCCTTCTGTACACCCACTAAGAAGTATTATCTTTGCATTTCAGACGTTCCTATTTTGCAATTGTCTCTGGGCCCGAGCCTAAATCCAGACGATATAGAGGAGGGCGATGACGTCTACTTTGAATGCAAAGTCCAAGCAAATCCGTCGGCTTACAAAGTTGTGTGGAGACACGATGTAAGTTATCTATTATATCTGTTTAACTAGTTTAAACGTTTAGGTACCTTTGTTTCGCAAACAATTAAGCTAAGTGTTTGCATGAAAGTATTAAGAGACTCCAAAAGTTTTACGATTACAAAAATTTTGGCTTATACCGGGTGTCCACGAAAACGTTTCTCCATTTTCCGATGCGATTTTGGTTTTGCTGATACCGTTAAAAGAAAATTTAAGAAAAAACTGTATTTAAAATTTTTTTCTATCTTAAATAGTAAAGATTGTAGGTATGGGTCCAAATTTAATCAAATACCCTGTACATGAAATAAATCGTGTACGAATCGTTCGAAAGTGATTCGAAAATACAGATCGACAAGATTCTGTGACAACTTCAATAGGATTCAAATAGGATTCAAAGTGAAGTTTCTAACTGGACTATACCTCAAAAATATGAAATATATTTATGCCGACCCAATCATTAATATAATTATCACCTACATATATATTTCTAGAGCCATTTCTTTAGCTCTCGAACTTTGTAAGGTCTTACTAATTCAAAATCGATCGCGTCGAGGAAAATGTTCCCCAATAGGAGCTTTACAACTGTCGGACCAGGATTTCGCTTATCCCTAAAGAGATAGTGCTGGGAGTATAAATCTTATGTTTCAATAAAGTCGGCGTAATTTTTCCAGTGCTAGGCTTCAGAAATGGAAAGATTAGGTAATTTGTTTTTCTGTATTCAAGAACTTATAGTCAGTCTATTTTAGATTCATTTTTTTTTGTGTCAACAAAATTCTACCGGCAGCGGCGTACGCTGTTTTTATTTAAAAAAAAAAATAGTTCAAAAGCCAAAAATTCGAACAAAATGGGTCAAAGATTGGCTTTTAAAACGCTCAAATTATATGCATTCAAATTTAGAAGAATTAAGATTGGAACCAGACGATTGGCGAAATTACCTGAGGATGGATGAAGATAGCTACGTAACGCTATTAACGTTAGTTTCTCCAATAATAGAAAAACATAATACAATTTTAAGGGCTACCATATCACGACACAAGCGATTAACAGCCACACTTCGCTATTCAGCTACTGGAAGCGTGTGTAAATTAAAGGGAAAAAATAAATTTAGATACACAAATAACATTAATAATAACGATGAAGGGGGTGATTCGTCGGTTAGGATAAAAAATAAAAGTCCTGTTAAGTCTTTGCCAACGTTTCGCCCAAAAGTTTAGGGCTTCATCAGGGCTAAAATATATATTAAGAACATCAAAAAAGTGCTAACAAAAAATGAAGTTTACATAGGTACCTTGTAATTAAAAAATTATTTAGCCAGAATTATATAAAATATTGCGAGATTTTCAGGATGGAACACTCGATTGCACATAACAACATCACAATACATTGATAAAATTGTAAAAAGACAGTAAAAACACAAAAAATATAAAAATATAAAAATAAAATAGAAAAATTACAAAGACAAAGTGATTTTTTAAGTAAGGTATGTAAACTTCATTTTTTGTTAGCACTTTTTTGATGTTCTTAATATATATTTTAGCCCTGATGAAGCCATAAACTTTTGGGCGAAACGTTGGCAAAGACTTAAAAGGCCTTTTATTTTTTTGTCCTAACCGACGAAGCACTCCCCTTCGGCCCCTTCATTGGATACCAATAGGACACGAACTTCTCTTAATTAATTAATAATAACCAAAGACTATTTGTATAATTTAGAAAATAACAATAACTGATAGGAACAAAATTCATGATTCATGTGACCTTAACCAAATAATTTCAAAACATAAAAATACGCTGTATACTGTACTGATTACGAGCCAGTGTACTAGCAATTTGTGCAAATGAAGATTGAACATGGGCCACACTCTTGTATGCAAATACATGCTTGCGCGTGCATGAATTCCGGTCGGATCAGAAAACTTGTGTGACATACATGCTTGTAGATTTTTGCCCACACACAGGCAAACATGAACGCGCAAGCGTTCACGATAAACATGTATGACGCACATGTATGCTAAAGTTCGTTTTTTTTTAAAGATAAAATACAATGTAAAATTGTCAATGCTTTCAATTTTTTATGTAGAAAAGGCTTGTGTTGCCAACATAGTTACTAAATTTTTGACTTGGGGAATTATCTTTAAAAAAAAAAAACAAAATTTAGTCTGTGGCCAGCTTAGCCGATCACGTCTAAAAAGTTTGTCACCTGCTTTTGCTTGACAGCTGACATGACACCTTTCATGCGATTTTTTTTCTCAAAATTCGACATCAATTATTGAAATCCTACAAAAAGTAACAACACTCAGAATGTCGTTTAAAAACTAAAATGACAATCGAAAAGTTGCTATTATGAAACGTCAATAGAAAAAATAACTAAACAGAAACGGAATCTGAATCGCTCTTTCTATTTAGCTTTAATAATACAGGGTGTCCCAGCCGAGAATGACCCATTTTAAATGCACCATTCGATTTCTCTTGGCCTAAAGTTTTTCCTAGTAGGTTGAAAAATAATTCGAAACTTATACAGGGCGAATTGAAAAAAAATCATTTTTCAACATCGAAATTCATTACTATTTTTAATGGAATACCCTGTATATCACAACGTAAAAAATTCATGTTCAAGGTATCCATGTAGGAATAGACATCGTCCCTAAAACTTGAAGTTTTAGCCGTAAAAAAATCAAAATCGAAATCTTGGTATTTTGCTTGCCGAACTCCGCAATCGCGTGCGGAAAATGAAATCCTAAACTAGATATTTCAAATTTCAAAAATTTGCTATCATGTAAAAAATGGTTTTTACTTTTACTTTTTTGGGGGATTCACGTTTCTGGAAGTCTTCTCTTTGGGATTTGGCGAGCGGAGCGAGCAATACAAGAAAAAAAATAATTTAATTTCAAGATGTTATATTTACGAAAGGGTTTTTGTTTGATTACAGTGGTCTTCTGTTACAGCTCTCTTTTGTGCAGCGCTCTTTTGTTGCTGCGCTTTTTTGTTACAGCGCTCTTTTGGTACAGCGCTCTTTTGTGCAGCGCTCTTTTGTTACAGCGCTATTTTGTGCAGCGCTCTTTCGTTACAGCGCTCTTTTGTTACAGCGCTGTTTTGTTACAGCGCTCTTTTGTGCAGCGCTCTTTCATTACAGAGCCAAATGAATAACTTGAGAGAGGCAAGAACATAATTCTTTAAGGCCCGGTTTTATGTTTAGGTATAGACAGTCATAAAATAACTGAACCGTTGTATTTTTATTGATATAATGACATCTACTAACTACTGTCAATATTTAAATTAAAAGTCGGAATTCCGAGATAAAAGTCGGAATTTCGAGATAAAAGTCGGAGTTCCGAGATAAAAGTCGGAATTCCGAGATAAAAGTCGGAATTTCGAGATTAAAGTCGGAATTCTGACTTAAAAGTCGTGATTCCGAGATAAAAGTCGGAAAGAGTTAAAAATAAAAAATTAAGAATAAAGTGGCCCTTCTACGCTTCTATAGGAGTCGCACACAGATTTTGAGTTGGTTAGTTTTTGATACGGTTGTATTCAAGGTAGTGGTGAAATAACAGTAGTCGATTAGATCAGATCGAACAACAGAAGCTCTGTGTTAGACGGGTTCTTTGTAAAGTCCTTTTTCATCATTTTGTGATGAAATAGAGTAATTCAAGGTCATCGAGGTGTTGCAGAACAGGAGCAGACACAGAATATAATTTTATAGATCGACTGTTTACTACCAATACCTCCTATCTACAATTTTTGGACAAATTAAGGTTAATACACCAATGGGTAGATGTTTATTAAATCTTTGGAATGGAAATATCTCCATCTCCTAATGGCTGAGATTCATATTTTCGCGCTAATTTTCAAACGGAAATATCACCAAACTGCACAGGCTTCGGAATGTGTCAGCAGTACCTCCTATCTTCCATTTTGTTGTGAACCATTATTGCGCGTGTATCAGCTGGTAAGTTTCATTGGAATTCTTGTTATTTTTTGTCTTTTTTTTTGTGTTTCCTTTAAAAAGTAGTAATCTGTCTCCTACGACCCGTATGTATATCGTTTCAATTCGAAAACAATAATTTATTTGTTAAAATGCGTAAATCAAAATTTTATTGTAGATAGGAGGTCTTTCCGTTCTACGAAATTAATATTAACTGTAGCCAATACCTCCTATCCCGAATTTTATTCTTGATGTTTGATAACCGGTTGGTTAATCAAGTGGTTAGATTTATGAAAAATACGTATAGCTGATTCATGTGATGCGTTTGTTCCAGAACAATAGGTAAAGTCCGACAAATACCATTTTAAAGTCACGTGATACTGGTGGCAAAAAACGTATGTCCATTGATTATGCCGTTGATATCACCTACAAAAAGCTACTGGTGGGTAATTACTATTGAATTTTAATATATGTTCCCACTAGCATTTTACAAACGCGTTTCTGAAGTAGTATTGACCTCAGACTAATAATAAAACTAGAGACCAAACATGCCATTTAGAAATCGCCCAATGTTTACAATCAATCATCTTTTAGTCCATCACATAAGTAAGAGAGAGATAGGCCTATAAAATGGCAACACTGACGCATGTGGATTTTGCCACTACCAGTGGCGGCGTGTTGTTTTAAGAAAATATAAATCAAAATAAATAAAATTATGATTTAAGTTGTAATTATAATTTATAATTTATGATTTTGAATCCTTAAAAATAAGTATGTACCTACCTATTATATTTTCATGAAGACCTAAAGCCTTCATGCAAAAAGCAGCAAATTAATTACTAGATACAATAGGTATAAATATCAAATACGCAAGTATAAGTATAAAATGTTTATTGAAAATACAAAAAATCGTCCAATTATACAAAAGTTTTTTTTACTTGATATGGAATATAAAAGCTGACTATCAGTACATACATATTTGATTTATATATAGGTAAGAAGTATAGTCACCGCTTAACGTATATAGCTTTACATTTTTTAACTATGTACTTAAACGACAGAGTTGATTCTTTAATTATAATATGTATTGATTCAGAAAAGAAACTTTAATTTGGTACAACCGCTGTTTTTATTTCGCTGGTTAGTGGTTTATGAACAAAAATGACTATTGCCTCTATAAAAAAAAGGAAAGCATGCAGTCTTGTATATCATACAGGATCAGTGAAAATCCTGCATAGTGGAGCTGTTAGCTCAGCAGTACTATTGCGGGAAGGCCATTCAGTCCTCAGTGGCATTGTTAGAGTCTAGGCCTTTATGTATTCGCTTTGCTTGTGTATTCGTTTCTGGTCCTGGCATTGAGGAAAATACTCTCAGGATAGTAGGGGCCGGGGGAGACTCTTCTTCAGGATCGATCTACAGTAGATTTTGATCCAAGCATTTCTGCGAGAAGTAGCAAGAAAACCTCAAAAATAATTAGTATTAGATTTGTTATGATCGTGATGAATAACTCAAAAAATGGACTGTATGAAAATAATTTACTGGAAAACTGGAGGACGATATAATTAAATTGACTAGTTCAACCACGTTGAGTGAAGCTAATGACAATTTCATAAAATTAGCATTGTGGCCATATTATTAATTAATGCTTGGCCTAGACAAGATTTTTGGATTTTAATCTCTTTGCGTATTCAAATAATAATCAATAGGGAACTTTACAATTTTTTTTTATTTTTTCAAATCATTTATTTATGCCTTAAAAGAGTGTTCCCAAAATATTATTTTCTAAAACTCAATAATAACTTGGTGAAAAATGTTTAAAGTTTCGCGCGTATTAAAAGCATTTCAAACGACCTTAAATGCGCGCGAATCTGGATGACGTCACGTAGTATGATTTTGCGTCACCTTGTCGCCAAATGTTATACTTCATTGTATTTAATTTGGTTGATTTCCACATTTTCCACCGTTATTTGTTTTGTTGTTGTTTTGTGTTGCAGCGAGTTGTAAATTTTAAAGTTATAATGGAAAAAAAGATTCGCACATAAAATGTGTTTTTTTTTTACAGATAAAAGTCAAAATGACATTATGTTGGCAATACAATGTAAAATTGTCAATGCTTTCAAATTTTTTATGTAGAAAAGGCTTGTGTTGCCAACATAGTTACTAAATTTTTGACTTGGGGAATTATCTTTAAAAAAAACAGACTTTACTTACTTTTGCTACCATAAACATATCACAAATTACAGATTGTCGGATTGGCTTTTGGAATTTCCTTCTTCGGTCATAATAGGCATGATGACAAATTTTGAAAAACTATCCTATAATGTTCGGAAATGTATATTATTCACAATGAATAACATATTTCTGCAGATAATAAAGGTTTTAGTAGAAAAAATTACATTTTAGTTTTTATATTCAAAATTCGCGCCAAAACGCTTCTCAGTGTCATGGCGTCATTCGTGACGTCACGTTTGAGTAAACAAAACCTAAACGCTCATTGAAAATTTGAATAATTTAGATATTTTGTGTAATTAAATGTGAATTTCAAAATGTACAAGTGGTGTGCGGTTCCTCAGTGTGATAACACATCATTAAAAACTCCTGGAAAGTTATTTGCCTTCGTTCCACAAAATAAAACGATAAGGGACAAGTGGCTTAAACTTGCAACGCGAGATTCATCAGCAATATTGCCTAGAACTTACCTTTATTTTTGTGAAAATCCTTTCAACGCAAGTATTTAATTTACTTCGTAGATTTTAAAATAGTATGTATCTTGTTTGAGGTCTAAAAATATAAAAACAATCATACTTAGATAGAAGTTTTACCATTTCTTGATTCTTTTCTGCTTAATCTTTGTTCCATGACTCGCGTTATTTCACTTTTGATTCAATATTCGGTATAAACAAAATTGAGTGTCGCAAATTAAATCGCAAGAAAATCACGGAACCAGTCGTTTGTTAACTGATTTACTCAAAAGTGACGTCATTCGTTCTGATTGGCGTTTAACATAATATGGCGGACCTTCGTATTTTGCAGTTTTATTTTATCAAAATAATCATCAATCTGGCTCCTAATAAAAAAATAAATGCGTGTTTCGTATTCCATGAGTCAAGTTTCATCAAGTGAAAACACAATTTAAGTGATTTTCAATTACTGTCATCATGCCTATTAATAGGTATATCGCTTTATTTATGTAATGCTGAGCTAATCATTGAATTTAAGCTAAGTAAACCAATTCTAATAATGATAAAATTTTAAAAAAATAGAGAAAAACGTGGATAAACACAACTAACGTGTATTTATTATGTAGAGTTCGAGCTGCTGTTTTGTTCTTTTATCCCTCCCTGTTCTTCTCATTATAAGGAAAAAAGACAAAAAATGCTCCGAGCGCTCAGTGTTTCAAGACGAACTCACGGTATGATGGACGTTTGCTGACAGACACTGACAAATCATACTAGATGACGTCACGACCAGTACCAGCGCGTTTTTTTCCGCTGGAAATAATTTGAATTTTTCCGCATTTTTAATTTTTTATTGCGGCCGTTTGCGACAAAAAAAAATTGTTTTTTTTTTCGCTGATAATGTTTTAACATAATATATTCTTATGATTTATAGTAATAATATTTTCATGTTTAAATTTTTTGTCAAGTTCCCTATTGTCGAGGTAGGAAATATTAAAATATAATGGGTAAAACATAATACCTTTTTGTAATATCTCCCATTTCTGATGCAGTTTCTGTTGTAGATCCACCAGAATCCTTATTTTTTGTATGTTGCTCAACCCTGACCCTGCTAACAAAAAAAAAAATATATTTTTGATTTATTATATCTACATATGTAGTAATCAAAAACGGCACTCCAATACTTTTTAATAGATTAATAAAGATATCTGTCATCAAGGATACCTTTTTATGATTTTCTTCACTGGGCTGCTTGAGGGGCCTGCCATATTTCTGTCAGACTGCAAAATAATGATTTCAGACCCACTGGGCTGCTCCACGAGAGTTTCAAAATTATCATCCAAAGGTCTGAAAATAATAATGTGAGATGAAAAAACGTACCTAGCAGGAAGACCTGGAAATACTCCTTGAACTGTTCTATATCACATCAAACTTACTTTGAATAGAAGAGATTTCCTGCGGGTTTCTGTCAGGTGATTCAACAAGGGTAGAGTCCGAACTAAATAATAATAATAATAATAATAATAATTTGAGAAAAAGCTGAGAGAAAAAGTGACAAAAAAAATATGATCCATGAATTCATAATACCTATACACTAAAGATATTTAAAGAAAATACTTTATGTTAGTTCAACCTTACCTAAAAGATGATGGATCTTTGAACGCAGCAAGCCTGGGTTCAGCATCTGGCCTTATCCTTTTTTTTTTCCAGTCAGGCTTATTGTTGTTACATCACTGGGATCAAAATGATCCGAGCAAATGAAGGAAAATTTATGTACGTTCGCATTTTCCAAGCCCAAAATGGAAATCCACTTTTTCCTTCTTTCCAGATTTACAGGAAAACTACAACAAAAATTATAATAGAACCTAGTAATAGTGTATAGAGTCAAAGTTTATAAAGTTCAAGCTCACAATTCTTACTTCTTAATGCGTAATTTTAAAAATTCAGAGTTGAAACCAATTCTACATTAATCTACTTATCGCAAAACACTTCAAAATACGGTTATATCCCCTTTTAAGCCTAAACTCTAAACATTAAACCATCAGGTGCTGTATAAACTCGTTTCTGTTGTGAAATAACAACTAATTTCAAATTAGTATTAGCAACTCGATTAGCATTAATTCATTGTGCATTAAGCAATAAGCATTATGAATTATACACTATTATTGGCTAGCTAAACAGGGCCCAAAGTTGAATAAAACTATTGAGGAATATGTACCTATCGTGAGTACTTACCTATATTGATTCAGGAAAACTCAGATTATTGCTGTAATTTAATTTCTAGATCTCAAATAAAAAGTTTCCTCTGAATTTTTCCCAGAATCTAATAGAAAGTTTACAATAAATTACCATAAATACCCTCTAACTACGCCAATGGCGGCCAATGTCAAGAGTAAAATGATGTCAAATTTCTTACCGCCGAAATATCGAATTCTGCTTTGAATCCTTACAGATAATACATCGACGTACCATTGTTACTGTCTCCACTACACTTTCTATAGTTTTGAATCCAAAAATAACACTCAAAATCACAAAAAATCACAAATTTAGCTTGATCACTTTCCAGCAACACTGCCAAATCCCTAATGGATGCCAAAAGTCACATAAAATCATCTGATTGGCTGCTCGTAGATGCAACGTTGCCGATGTGACGTTTTTCAAGCCATATATTCCTGGTTATTCCAGAATTTTCACCAATTTAAATTAAAAAAAAGACTAATTATCATTTTCAAAAAGGCGTTTAAGTTATGTTTCAACAAAGATTGATATAAAAAAACATTTACATTATGTTGAAACATATTTTGGAATAATGATTATCCGTGAAAACATTTAATATTGAAAATCACATCGGATTATTGGCATCCGGGCATGTCATGCAAAAATCGACCTTATGGATGTTGGATCGCAAATTGTTTGTTTACTGTTGTATCTGTCGTTTTTAGTTGTTAATCTGAGGTATTGACCAATCAGATGAGAATTTTAATACTTGCAATTGTTGCGAGACTCACTTTTGTCGCTTCTGCTGCCTTTTGTAATACATTCTGAACTTGAATTGGGTACCCGTTTTCTATTTGCTTTTTTTCCAGTGGGAAAAAGGTTAATATAGTCAAAATTATTAGCTGTGTTTGCTCGTTGTATTATTTTCGAAAATAACTTTGACAAACTAATTGATGACAGTGACGGATTCTATTTCACGTAAGAATATTATGAACAATAATTAGACAGCAATTTTTTTGTCAATTTTACTATCACCGCTGTTTGTAATGTATTGAACAAGGATAGAGAAAAATCACGTGACTTTAAAATGGTATTTGTTGGACTATACCATAGCGCAGAAAATTATGTCTTTGTTAAAAAAGAAGACAAACGTAAACTCCAGTGTGTCTGATCATCAACAAGAATCTCCTCCATCCCACTCTGCGTCATTTACTTCAGTACAACATAAATCTGATGCATCAGATATTATGAAGCTTGATTCTACAGACCGAAAAAAACAATTTTTTTTGTCGCAAACGGCCGCAATAAGGAATTAGAAATGCGGAAAAATTAAAATTATTTCCAGCGGAAAAAATCGCGCTGGTATTATTCGTGACGTCATCTAGTATGATATGTCAGTTTCTGTCAGCAAGCGTCTATCATACCGTGAGTTCGTTTTGAAACACTGAGCGCTTGGAGCATTTTCCGTCTTTTTTCCTTATGATGAGAAGAACAGGGATAAAAGAACAAAACAGCAGCTCCGAGCGTTTACTCGAACTCTACATAATAAATACCCGTTAGCTGGTGTTTATCCACGTTTTTCTCTAATTTTTTAAAATGTTATCATTTATTAGAATTGGGTTACTTAGTTTAAATTTAATGATTAGCTCAACATTATATAAATAAAACGATATACCTATTAATTATTACCGAAGAAGGAAATTCCAAAGGCCAATCCGACAATCTGTAATTTGTGGTATGTTTATGGTAGCAAAAGTAAGTATGTGATAATGTGCGAATCTTTTTTTTCCATTATAACTCCAAAATTCACAACTCGCCGCCACACAAAACACCAACAAAACAAATAACGTTGGAAAATATGGAAATCAACTAAATTAAATACAATGAAGTATGACGTTTGGCGACAAAGTGACGCAAAATCATACTACGTGACGTCATCCAGATTCGCGCGCATTTAAAGTCGTTTGAAATGCTTTTAATTCGCGCGAAACTTTAAACATTTTTCACCAAGTTATTATTGAGTTTTAGACAATAATATTTGGGGAATACTCTTTCAAGGCATAAATAAATGATTAAAAAAAATTAAAAAAAAATTGTAAAGTTCCCTATTGAATAAAGACTCTTCATTGGAGGAGCCGATCCTGTTAGAATTAGCAGATATAGACCAAACCAAATCAATAACTGGCGAATGTAATTTGACTAACAAACAAGATGCGGAGAATGAATCTCGCACACCATTTTCTGATGCAGACTACATACCTAGCTTACTACCAGATATAGATGCAGAAAATAAGAGCGGTCGCAGCAAACATCGAATCATCCCATAGAAGTATCAAAGATATACCTTGAGGTATGCGACTTACACTAAATTCCACGAATATCCCAAAGATCTCGCAGGAACTGCCAAATGTCCGCCTCAAGGATATCTTATGTTACATGAAAAGCAAATATCTCATAGAAGTCTTGAAAGAACATCCACAGTAAATCTGAGCAAGATCTTCAAGCGACAATACTTAGAATGTCGCTAGCCAATGTTTATGTAATATTGTTATTCGAAACCAATTTGAGAGGTTTCAAATTACATTTTAATTTCAGAGAACGTGCTTCCAGAACATTAGCAAAAACTATGTAATGATTATTTATTAGTCTAGAGAGTAGAGTACCATAGTACCATATAAGTCACGCAAGAAAATATCCAGAGAACCCGAATGGCAATGTAGTTGATTTTCTGTGAATTATATGGTAGGAACTTACTGTACTCACCAGTCCAATACAAAATTCTGTCCAACACTATCCTAAACATACCAAAGAATAGCAAAATCATAAATTATTAATTATAATGTTAAAATTATTGATAGATGAAGAAGAATTGAATAAAAACATGCATTATACATTGAATGAAATTTAAGGTTGCCCTACAACTTTTACAAGGGAATCCAACGATGCGTCAAACTACTCAAACTTGTTACCTATAAATGAAAACCCAGTACCCCCTTTTTATCACATAGTAAGATAAAGCTTTCCTTGCCCTTAAAACAAGCGAATAAAATACTATTTGCTACTGTTGTATGTTCCAATCCAAAAATTTATTAAAATAGAAAGAAAGAGAGAAAGAAAAATATATAATTATTTTTTTCTACAAACGTCACTAAAAGTGTCATTTTTAACGGATGCTGTCAGTGTCTAAAATGCCATTTTATGACACTGGTGTTAAAAGTGATTACTTTTAGCACTAGTGCTAAAAGTAATCACTTCTAGCACTGATCAGAAAATATAAAAACATAGGAAATTTTATATCAAAGTAAAATATTTATTTAATTAAATTAAAATTAGCGAAACTGCAATTAGAATAAGAAACTCCATGGCCAATCTCATTGGTAGCAAATACTGAATTTATTTTGGTAAAACTTGTACCAGGAGAGTAAAGAGCAATGTTATTCTCCGAACTTTTGGGCAGAATTTGATCCGCAATGTTCTTTTGTATGAAAACTCGTACTGTTGCTTTGACTTGCTAGGCAATAATTCGAAAGTAGCTTTATTGGCAGCTTCTTCAATTTCCGCCGGGAGAAATTCATTGTCTTGATCACTTTCCATCGCCCAGAAAATAAACTACAATGAAACTGGATGAAACCACGCAAAAACCAAAAATTGTGCAGAAACCGTAAGCAAAAATTCGTGATTATTTGACGTTATTAATCAACAATGACAAACAGAGATGACAAATAAAAATAAACAAATTCGTTTTTTTTTCATGCCAGCAACCAAGATTTGAAATTGAGGATTTCAAGGATGCATTAATTTGGACTTTTAAACAGTGTTTGTAGAAAAAATAGTGTATGATATTCGTGCTAAAAGTGATTTTATTTTGTTCAAAGGGATGGAACACTCCGCCTTCGGCGTCGTGTCCCAAACTTCCCTTTTCACAAAATAAAATGTCACTTTTAGCACTTATATCATAAATAACTATTTTTTTTATCAAGTATGCATACCTATCAGTTCATCATTCACACATTAAGTGACAAACCAATTTTTATTACGATACACAAAACGATCATCATAAAAGCTGGAAGAACATACAGGGTTTATCACTGCACTTTCCTTTTCACAACACTAATTAATAATCAACATCAACTACCGTCAGGTGCCAGGTAAAAAAAAAACCCGAACTCCAAAAACTAAAAACCAACAAACTTAGAAACTAATTCTGAAACCCACGTCCTACACGCAATATCCAATGGCAAAATAGGAAGTACAGAAAATATATTGAAACGTTATTCAAGAGCCAGAAGGTCTTCAGAAGGACCAGAAGCCATGTGACTAATGCAATGCGAGGTTAGAGGTTGGGTAGTAAAAAAAAACAGCGTCTTTCTCTTCATTATATCAGGAGCAAATCGCAGAGTGTCTTCGAGAATGTGATCGCTTGTAATGAACTATCGAAGTGATATCGACATTAATTTTAAGATTCCGTAGAAAATTAATTGAAACTTCTATTCGATAAAAAGGTGAGATATAAATTGAATGTAGCTATCCGACGTTTTTTTGTACTTTACCCTGATGTTCATATGAAATATAGATATTATACAGGTTTTCGGGTGACGTCTCGTTGGGACACGCCATAGATATACGTAGAACATATCGAGTTTATATTCTACAGAACGCAAGCTGCAATATTGCCAGTATGTGCAAATAGAATTCAGATAGTCCCTTAAATTATAAATGTCTCTAAAATTTCCTGCGGACGACCCAACGTAATATTACCAAAAAACAGGCAGGAGACATTTCAAAGTCGCAATTACAATTCTTCAGTACTTCTTTACATTGTAACATAACAATATCTGCAGGAGATTTAGAAAGAACATCGCAAAAGTGCCTGCAGATGTTTCGTGCTTGCTGGGGTACTGATGACCAGGACCTAGCCACCAGTAACCAGGATAATATTATGAATCTACTTTTACGAAAAACTCAAGATATTGACCCTCTATTTGAATTCGAAACACATTCGAAACACATGGATCCAGAATATATACGATGTTTACGATACAAAAAATAATAATATCATTATAGTCAGTGATGGGCCTGGCAGAGATACTGATGATCCTGATGGAAATTTAATTTTAGATACAACATTAGATTTTGCAGTTGGACGAAAAAAAGTAACCATGCTTTGCTCATAAATAAAAAATATGACAATCTTAATCGTGTGAAGAATTGCCCTTATGCCGAAGATATCAATTATTTAAAAGATTTTTTGAAAC